ACTATCTTACTTCTTATATATACTCATAATGGACAGGCTGGGTTTTTACTTTAGTAATTAAGCCTTGATTACCATCGACTAATTTACTTATTCTCGTTTTATCTAGGGCATAAAGCTTACCGGTAGATCTTTAATAAGAACTTAGACGAAATAATGTAAACGTAGTTCTTATTCAAGATCTATTAGTAATCACGAAGCCCTCCTTAAAACATGATTCTTATATTGCAACGCATTAAATTCGAACGATATGTTTTAAGTGAAAGTGACGACGAAGAGGAAGAGGGGCCTTGCGACGTTTATGAGAATGAAGTCTGTCGAAATTCGTGGATTATAAGTGCAAAAATGTTTGCTTAACGACCAATCACAATGTAGCATATGAGTTGGGATAGGCCTGGCCATCCTTGAATAATTAATCTGCCTCATGATCCACTGTTACCCTTAGCCATAAGGTGGAGTGGTAACATCGTCACGATGCCCATGACTCGATATCGAATACCGCTGGGGGTGCTGATGAAACCTAGACGAGATCAAAACGGCCGGCCACTATGGATGATATAGCCTTTAGAGAAGCAATCCTAAGTGGAATTCCGTGGAATCGTGGAGGTTAATATTCGTATTGTGAGAAAATTCAACTATCTGTCCTTAAGGCCCCTTAAACGACCTATGGCGACTAAGCATTTTTAAGGCCCTGTTTGGCTTATGTAAGCAAACCAGAGTGACATTAATCTATTTGATGACCATGTAAGTAATGGTACTTCAAGGCATCAATTTTATTCTATCTCGACAAGGTGAAATGATAAATCGAGTTCACTCAATCCGCTAGGCGTGACTCGCAACTCTCTCAATGAAAATAAATCTCATCTAATCCGAGCGCTTAGAAAAGCAAATTAGCCCACAAAAATAGTTCAGACTAAAACGATCATGTTGGCCAGAAATTAATTGGAACAGGAACCATACGCCAGATAAGTTAAATGATGAGCTTTGTCTCGGAGACTGTGTCACTATGCGTCCTCTACGAATCTCAAAAATGCATTGCAGAAACAAGAATGAGTTAGGAAATACTGACCTGGTGCACCAAGAAGTAGGTAATGTACCGCCAGGCCTCCCTTCTCCGAGTAGGATTATAGGGTAAGGGGCTAAAGAAGGGGTAGCCAGAAGTCCAGGTAACAACATTCCAGGGTTCTTGCTTTGCTCGCTCCTGTATCACTACGGCATAGTAGATGAAAAGCGCGATCTACCAAATAGATAAGGCAAGATAAAACACTTTACAAATCTATAAAAGTTGTTTCTTTAAAAGTTGTTTGACCTTGTTTTCGCAACTTGGTCATATTGGCAGGAAGACTTAGAGGAACGCACCTTG